TTAGTTCAATTGAATGTGTTATTTATGACAATAGTAGTTTTTTTCTTTTAAAAACATAACTATTTATAATGCTCCCTAAATAAAAAGTAAATTACAGTGAAAGCAATGATGATTTTGTAGGTTTTGAACCAAACTAAATAACAGTAAACCTTTTTTTGATTTACGTATTTTCTTATTTTGATCTCTTTTGTGTTTAGAACAATATATACTAATTTTTAAAGTATCAAATTGAGTTTTTGTTCAATAATAATCTTTCAAATGCGACTGTAGCTTTTTTTCCCCAAAACTTTGTCTTCAAAATAAGGGTGCGTCTTATACACCGGTGCGTCTTATATTCCGAAAAATACGGTAAATAAAATACTTACCATACGTGATCTTACCTATCAACCAAATTTGTCAAGTAAATTGTATAATGAAACAGAAAAATATCTTTTAAAATTACAACAAAGTAACAGTTGACTTAAATGTGGACTGTATATATATAATTGAATAGAAGAACTATGACATTTATATTGGTGTGTTTCCTTTTTGAAGCAAATTACACATTGATTTACAGATATAACAACTACAATTCATCATTATTGATAGCGTTCTTTGTAGGCAATTAAGTCATACGATAATGGCTTCCTATGGTATTTTGAAATGAGATGAATATTTCAGAGTACTTGTTAACTACATCTTCAAACTGGATATATATTTTAGAGCAATTACATTAATCTATTTAAAAGTACGATACATATTGCTAGGTAAATCACTAACTCCTTTAATTTAACATTTTTCTTAACAGCTAGATAAAACGAACACATAAAACAAGCTAATTGTTTATTTTAAATTTCGCGCAAAGCTACACGAGGGTTATCTGCGCTAGCCGTCCCTAATTTAGCAGTGTAATTTAGCTAGTCATCACCACCCACTGCCAACTCTTGGTCTACTCTTTTACCAACGAATAGTGGGATTCACCGTCACATCATAACGTCCCCACGTCTGAAAGGGCGAGTACGTTTGGTGTCACGGGGATTCGAACCCGCGACCCTCAGATTGCGAGTCGAGCGCCCTAACAAAGCCACTCTTTACCAAAATTAAAAATTAAACAATATTACCATTTTCCGAGAGTTTAGTTTTAAACCATGTCGTTTCTTATAAGTAACAGCTAGACCGTTTCCATGAAATGCCACCAGATGGATCTTTTGTAATAAAAAAGTTTAAGATGAGTGTGTCAATATAAATGTGTTAAGTCAATGGATGCCGGAATAAAAAATCTAAAAGGTAACTTTCAGTATTACAAGATAACAGTAACAGAAAAGCTTTACTATTTATTTTCGAATCTTTTGGCACTTACGCATCCCCCAAAACTGGGTAGACTGTTGCTTTCCATAGGGCACGTTTGCATGAGTACGTGCTATACCAAAATGACCTCTCGCCCATGGTATGGCTGAAGAACGTGCTACATTCCATAAATTACGATGAAGCGTGTGCTATGCTGAAATTGACCTGGGATTGCACAAAAAAGTGGAAACTTTGGAACCTAATAAGATTATCAACATAAATTAGCAATAATGATGTACTTCGAAACAGGAAAAAAAAAAGTCACATCCTGATAATGCCGTAGTTATACACTGATATACTGTTCCTAAGTTAATTCTAAACCAACTGGGCTACAGAACTGGAAACTTTTATTAAGGACGTGTTTTACGTTTCTCTAAATGTGTGAAATGACCAGAATAGTGAAGTCTACGTTTGTTTTGTTAGACAGGTTGGATCATCTGATGTTTTATAGCTGGGAGGGGGGGGGTTTACGCTGAAAATCCACTAATGATTGTAATATACTTAACAATCTGAGATGTACAGAGCTTCAGTGAGGACTTTAAGTGGAGTAATTTTGATAATGTGTTCCTTTGATCAACCAATGTTAGGTGTTGTGAAAGAGAAAACTTGTTGTAGATTTGATATTAGTTAGGAATGCTACCAAGTGAACCAAGAATTGGATTTTTTTACTTATTTATTTTTTGCTTAGTTAGTTATTTCATCGCGAGGAAAATGTGCAGATTTAAAATATACTTCTCAAACATTACTGGTGTAACTATATTTATAGTGAAATAAAGTAAATTTAAGAGAAATGACACTTTTTATTTCTATGTGATTTCTGAATAAAGGTTCTTTTGAAAGTATTCAGATACAACTTGCACAGGTTGAAAAAATATATCATTTTCTTTACTAAAAGTAAAATGTTTCGAAGTCATTTTACATGTTTGTTTTTTCAAATTTGTTCTCCAAACAAAGTAATCAATGTGACTTTTTCTAGTGTTATCAGTTTATTAGATATTTTCTTCGTGTTATTCTTATTTATCATTCTTGATCTTTCTTTGACATCCTAACTGTTTGATAATTTTCTCGTAATTGTTTTTATTTGATACGTTCTCCATTTTCAATAAAACAAAAAAAAAAAATTATTTCTCAAAATTTTTTGTTGATTAAATCCCACTATTTGTTGGTAAAATAGTAGCACAAGAGTTGCCGGTGGGTGGTGATGACTAGCCGTATTCCCTCTAGTCTTACACTGCTAAAGTAGGGACGGCTAGCGCAGATAGCCCTCGTGTAGCTTTTCGCGAAATTCAAAACAACCAACAAACCAATCCAGTAATCAACAGGGGAACTCATTCAGAAAACGTGGCATATCTTTCCAAAATCATCACATTATAACGCCCCTACGGCTGAAAGGGCGAGCATGTTTGGAGTGTTAAATACTGGAAAGAAACGCCACGTATTCTGAATGGGTACCCCTGAGTGCTTTTATCATTGTGCTTATTGTCTTTGTTAAACATGTAGTTTTACAGAAATTCGTTTCAATTTTACATTATCCAAGTTCAATCTTAACTCATCATCTTTCAATAATTGGTTTTCCGCTGACAAGAAAAAAATTATAATACGAATGTGTTTTTCCTTGCTGTTGTTGTTTACTGTTGATTAAGATATATCCATACTCTTGTTAGCACATTTAACACTTGTTAATCTTATATTTTATGTCTGGTTATGGATTTATTCGATTTATAAAAAACAACAATAAAAACTACAAGATTTAAAGATTCGGAAACAATTAGAGAACTAGTAAGTTTCATTTCGTTTAATTAACTAATTGTTTAATATAATTTCCTGCATGTTTCCTGCTTAGCTAGAAATAGCATAACTGCTTTTTAGATACAAAAACAAAATAAAAAGTCTTTACCGTCCTCGGGTCTTTCTTATAAATTTCTAATTGTTGTCTTTCTGAAGAAACGTTATGGTGAGTTTCTTAAATAACCAAATTATTATATAAAAACTTTGGAACTTTGAACATTTATTTTGAAAACAAAAGTGCCATTGGGCAAAGTGTGATTTACTGTTTGCGTTAATGAAACGAATGTTGAATTAACTTTAATCAGCTTGGCTCTCACAGTTTGCCTATGATGGGGTTATCTGTAGCTATAGCAAAAACCCGCGCAAATCGGCTGAGCTTGTTCCAAATCTCTAGAAACCTGACTTAATACGTAGAGAATTAAACTTAATCCTAATAGAAACCACGGCTGGTAACTTCAACAAAAATTTAGCCTTCTCGAGCTAAGGCCTTGCGATCAAAAGCTCAAATTATCCACGTGTGTGTAAAAGTTATACGATTGAAATTAAACTTAGAACAAAAATATCAATAATGTTTACAATACTTAGATAATTGATAAAAAGGTCTATAGAAGACGCTAGGTTACTGAGTCTGTTCTGACTGAGAGTAAGATGTGCTACTTTTAAGTAAGCTTTAATATAATCAAAACAACTTCCTCAGATCTCAAAAATTCAGGTATATGTGCACTTTATGATTACATATCGTTCTCAATTTTTGTAATAAAGGTTTAACAGTTGATCAGCTGTAAAAACTCCATTGAAGAAACATCAGTGCCAGACATTCTTCAACGTTTATATTACTTATATTTGCTAGTAAAAGGTTATGTTTCTTTTATCTGCATTCAGAATTGAGTAGAGCAATTTGCTCAAGAGAAATAGTATTTAATTCTTCAGCGCGTTTATGTGTAATTTGTGTGTGTGTTGTCAGTGTTTAGTACACTTTTGAGACAGCATATATTTTGTTTAAAAGCCGGAAATGTGGTCAAACCAGAAGATTCTCATGAGAAACAAAATTAAGAATGGAATAAAAACATCTGTGCTGTTGAGAAACGTCGAAGTATGTCCTGTTAACTTGTTTTAAAACACGATAAAACTATATTATCGAAGTAGCTATTTTGACTAGTCAATCACCTCTACAAGGACCAGAATTAAGCATAGTATCTCAAACGTATCAATCTGTAAATCCGGCGTGAGGAAGAACTACACACACACATATAAAACTGTAAATCTGGCGTGAAGAAGAACTACACACATGTATCAAACTGTAAATCTGGCGTGAGGAAGAACTACACACGTGGATCAAACTGTAAATCTGGCGTGAGGAAGAACTACACACATGTATCAAACTGTAAATCTGGCGTGAGGAAGAACTACACACGTGGATCAAACTGTAAATCTGCCATGGGGAAAGATTACATGCATGCATTAAACTGTAAATCTAGCATGACTAAAGACTACGTACATGTATTAATCTAGTAAAATCCAGCATGAATAAAGACTACGTACATGTGTTATTAAACTAGTAAAATCCAGTATGACTAAAGACTTCGTACATGTATTAAACTAATATGAATAAAGGCTAGGTATATACTTTAAATAGTAAATCTTGTCTCTGTCAGTTGCTTTGAGATAGTCGTTTCTCAATGGCTACGTATAACGTTTTTTGTGATTAAATAATTTACTACACTTTCGTAATAATTCCTTTCGCGACAGGTTATCTTTTCATGAGAACAACCAGAGTGAGAGCGTGTTGTGTTTCAACAAAAAGAGAGAAACTGTGATTTCTTAGAAACTTGTTTCCGTATGTATATTTACTTATGCATTAACCAAACTTTACAGCAAAGCTTGTGTTGTGACGTACACAAGTGTTGGCTGAGTAGACACTATTCTTTTAAGTTATTATAGTTATTATAAAGTTATTTATAAGTTATTATAAACTGTAAATTTAATCTCTTTCAATCATTTTGAGATATTCGTTTCTTAACGGCTATGTAAAAATATAGCTAACTCAATTAAAAGTGATATCTTTGAATTATTTCAGATGTATAAGAGAGGTTTGATAAATCAGGTTCGAACAAATTGTTTTATCTGTCACCTATATCAATACTACCAGGGGTCCGTCACTCGTTCCAGTTCCGGAGAGGATGAATGATCTAGTTACTACGAACGTAAACACTCGACGGAAAATGATACTTTACGTGCTAACTGCGGAATTCACTTTTACGAGAAACACAAATATTAGAACACTTTCTCGTAGCATTTCATATACAGTTTGAAAAAAAATAACTAAAACCTGTAAAAATAAACACGTTTCATGTCAAAACGCTTACAGTTTCTCTAAAAGAAATGTATTTTATAGATTCTACTAAATAAATTGTTTCTTTTTTGGTATAAAAATGTTTCTTTTTGCTTCTTTTGGTTCCTTTCAATGAATTTAGGTAGGTCCCACTTAAAGACATTGTGAGGCATTTACTACAGTGTTGAGAGAAAATATTGGTCAAAATCGTGGTCTTTATCTGATTTTGTTGTATCACTTGTAACCGTATCGGGACTAACACGTGCTATATAAAAGTATATGTTTATTTATTGAAAAGAAGTTCACCTCATTTAAACATGAACCTCATAATGTTTCTAATTCTAGTTAGTCACTGAATGTTTAACCTCCATTACCAAGTTATATGTGTAAAACACTAAAGATATGTACTGCGAAAAATTAACAGATTTGGAATATATTAAAAATATATCGCTGCTAAACAAAAATAATTATTAGATATATATATATATTAAACAAATGTAAAACATAATACTTCTCATTAAAGATGACAATTAAAACATAACATGCGCCATTAATTGAATGTTTAATCACTTACCCATGATAGCAGAAGGTACGAGTTGTACATAAGTGACTTAACATGTAACTAACCCAATTGAAAGTTCTATCTCTACGTTATCCCACATTTGTAAGAGAGGTTTGATAAATAAGGTTCTAATAGTTTGTTTTATTCTTCACCTATATCAAAACTAGCAAGGTCCATCACTCGTTCCAGCTCCGGGGAGGATGAATGATCTAGCTTCCACAATCGTAAACACTCGGCGGAAATGATACTTACATGCTAACTGCCTCATTCAATGAGTCTTGCTTCTGCTTTTACGGAAACATGCTTGCTGACAGATATTAATTTCCAGCTTTCGCTTTTACATGAGAACTAGAAATGGTTTGAGCTGGCTGACATCTACTAAAACGCCGAGTAACATATTAAGGTTGACGTAACCACTAGCGGCTTGTCAAGCTTCATATTTCTTAATCTATCCGAGGGAAATCTGCATATACAGGATGCAATAGCTGACTTAGCAGTGGATAACCGATTCTCTGAAAGGTCTGGCATGGCTGTCTCGCAGGTCGCCTTGTAGCGCTAACAACATGATGAACGATTCGTGAAATTGAATTTCAACTAAAAAGTGCCAAAGTACGTTTGTTGTTACGTTCTAACGAGAAACGACGTTTGTAAAAATACGTACAACAGCTGTCAGATGGGATTTTAGCCAAAATCATTTCCCTGTAGAGCTGTCCTCTAACATTTTTTCAGTTCTTTCTTCTTTTCATGCATTATTTCGAGCTTTCCATTTCAATTGTTTGAAAAAACAACAACTTATAATAAACCCTTAAAAACATATAAAGTTTTAAATAAACGCTAAGAGAAATCATACAACAAAAATATATAAAAATAATAATTAAGAGCTCAAGATAAAACCCAATTCTTTATGAAACGCATATGGACTCTAAAAATCCTGAAAAGTGTAACTAAGAAATACACAGAAACACACTTGATACATACTAGAATATCCTAGAGTTAGTAAAACCTTTAAACTTTAAATACTTGAATTTACTTGCAATGAGTTCGCATTTAATCTAAATTTAAAACGCTAAGATGTAGAACTCTGGCCAAACTTTTGCAAGTGAAAAATGTTCTTTTTGTAAAATTTTAATTTCTATATTAAATGTTAAATGTAAGAATTTCAGTTTGGAACACCACGCACTAAATAATCAATATTTAATACGTCTTTTCTCTACCGCAATTAAATCACTACATTGATCAAGCATGGGCTTTATTAGTTTTGGAGATTATCAATTGGTAATTCCTTTCATTTGTAGGTTTTGGATCATCATCCTTCTGAAATTCAAAGCTAGAGCCAAATAAGAATCGTTAGCTGGGTACTGTTTGACGAAACAGAATGTTATGATAACGCTTCCTTTTCAAAACACCACAACTAATGACCATATCTCTTTTTCTGGAGCAGAAAACATCTCCACACCTTTATAGACCCACCATATTCTGCTGTTTTACTTAGAAATTCTTGGTTAAATTTCTTATGGTAACATCTCAGCATGAGTTATATTTGAAAAGGTTTTTCGTTGTACAAACTTGAAAATAACTTT